AACCTGTTCAATCAATACAGCTTTGAATTTCATCTATAAGATACGGTATACATAAATCTTGATTTTACTTTAATCTACTTACTCTCATGCTTATCTTCCCCCATATATATGGTGTATGCTGGGGATACAACTGTAATGAAAATATGATAAAATATAACATGTATAACTTTAAAGTAAATGACCAGAGTTAAAACATATAATTATCTCTGATTAGTTGAAGCAGGCAGGAAATTCATTTCAACCAGTATTGACCAAAACACAGGCCTCTGAATTTCTATCAATAAGCAGTTATATGGTGGTGGCCAGGGGTAGAGAATTTTGAAAAGCAGAAAATAATGGTTGATCGCGTCTATATTTTGATGCATTTGAAACTTTTGAAGCGATGGAATTTAAGGAAAATCATTTTGGGCACAGTTCTGCATGCTAAAGGTTAGTCACTTTCGTTTCCCCCCAAAATTTGACTCCGAATCGGCGAGTAGGGTAAAAAGTTGTTGCATAACTGGTGTGTTGATATATATATAGAGGGGGTATACATATAATTCTGATTAATCATATAATGGCTTATTGATAGAAATTTAGTTAGAATGATCTAACTGTGTCTAGGTACAAGCCCTCACCACAGTTAGAATACGTCCCATATACTTGCGATGTAGCAAATCAGAGCGGATCCGCTCCGAAACGATCTTGAAGAATATAAAAGGATTTGCACTGGAAATAACTACCAAATTAATCAAAACAAACCTTTTTGAGATTGCTTATGCCTTTTACACCAGAAAATAATCCATCTAAAGACGAAAATCCAATTAATTTTCTCAACATTTTTTTCTCGCTTCAAATTTACCTGCCATGCATGTTTACATTCGGAACTCTCTAGATTGTTCCTAGTAAATACACTGAGTCATATGTGTACGAATTATCGCCCATGTTTCTTTTGCTACATTACGAATACACGGAACGAATTCTATCATTAAACCGGGTCCGTACGACAATATCATTTTAATGATAGAACGTTCTATCTAATAGAAATTCAGACTCAGAGGCCTGTGATCAGAACAAGCGGTCGAATAGTTAGAATGATCTAACTGTGTCTCGGTACAAGCCCTCACCACAGTTAGAATACGTCCCATATACTAGCAATATAGCAAATCGGAGCAGATCCGCTCCGAAACGATTTTGAAGAATATAAAAGGATTTTCACTGGAAATAACTACCAAATTAATCAAAACAAACCTTTTTGAGATTGCTTGTGCCTTTTATCCCAGAAAATAATCCATCTAAAGACGAAAATCCAATTAATTTTCTGAACGTTTTTCTCTCGCTTCAAATTTACCTGCCATGTTTACATTCGGAACTCTCTAGATTGGTAAATGCACTGCGTTATAGTGAGTACGAGTTATTGCCCATGTTTCTTTTGCTACATTACGAATACATGGAACGAATTCTATCGTTAAACCGGGTCCGTAGGACAACATCATTTTAACGATAGAATGTTCTATCTAGCGGTCGAACTACATGCAAGATTTCCATAATCACTTTGTGTGACACTGCCCTGAGATTCAGAAGAGACCTCGATATGTCCAAAAACTCGCTGAAATTAGGGACCAACCGGCATCTAAAAGGAATGTTTAGTGGTTTACTACATGTATAGCAAAATAGACCTATAATACTCAGAAAAAGAGGGAAAGTCCAGTCCCCAACCCCACCCTCGTGTTTCACAGGCCTGGACAAAGAAAACTGTGCTTGATCTCACAGTTTCGCCGTCTGACATCTAGTATCTTGTGCTGTAGTCTCTGCGTAACCATGTGTTTAATTTCAACATCTGGGATACAGTTTACTAGGGTATGTAAGAGAGTATATACTAATCCTCTTATCCCCAATTTTTCGAGACTTACCAACTACAAATTTTGATATATTTTCAAATATCAGACTTACCGGTACTTGTAAAATAAAACACCATGGTTTTATTCGCGTTAAAGATCGTTGCTTTTTCCCCGGAAATGAAGTTATTTTTCACCTCCTTTGCTAGAGAGCGAGTAACTAGTATCCGAACCAAACCAATCTCTGATCCGGTTTTAACAAGAAAAAAATCTATTTTGAGATTGAGTTCTTGTAAGAGTCACATAGATTATGAAAAATGAAAGAAAAAGTGAGCTAGCTCACATACCCCACGCTCCCCCATAACTTGACGGTGAAACACATTTAATGAAAAGCACAGTGCACTTTAAATACATAGTATAGATCACAAAGGGCAATAATTGCAAAAAATCTTCACATCAAAATGTCTTGCATATGAGGACATTTAAATGTGGAATGAAGTTTCTAGATAAATTATGGAATCAAAATTTCTCGACAATATACAAATCCACACATTAATTTGAAGTGGGGGGAGGGGGGGGGGGAATTTTCTTGAATAATAGGCAAAACTCTTTGGGATAATATAATGGAATATGTCCTAATGATCAGCATAGGTTGACGAAACTATGTACAACAGTTTAAGAGGAGTGTTGCTAACAAACTGTTCATCTCTGTATTCAAAATATGGCAAAAAAATCTAAGTTGAAAAGTGGAAATTCCCGGAAAAATGAAGGAATCGGAATTTCCTGGTAATATGCACATCTACACATTGCGTCCTAAATACCTGCAAAGTTTGACGAAATTCTGTGCAGCAGTTTATGAGGAGTTGCGCTGACAAACTGTTCATCTCTATATTCAAGGTATGGCCAAATGCCTAAGTTAAAAGTGCGGAAATTCCCGGAAAAAATAATGGAATCGGAATTTTCTGGTAATATGCACATCTACACATGGTGTCCTAAATACCTGCAAAGTTTGACGAAATTCTGTGCAGCGGTTTATGAGGAGTTGCGCTGACAAACTGTTCATCTCTATATTCAAGGTATGGCCAAATGCCTAAGTTAAAAGTGCTGAAATTCCCGGAAAAAATTAAGGAATTGGAATTTCCTTGTAATATGCACATCTACACATGGTGTCCTAAATACCTGCAAAGTTTGACGAAATTCTGTGCAGCGGTTTATGAGGAGTTGCGCTGACAAACTGTTCATCTCTATATTCAAGGTAAGTCAAATGCCTAAGTTAAAAGTGCGGAAATTCCCGGAAAAAATAAAGGAATTGGAATTTCCTGGTAATATGCACATCTACACATGGTGTCCTAAATACCTGCAAAGTTTGACGAAATTCTGTGCAGCGGTTTATGAGGAGTTGCGCTGACAAACTGTTCATCTCTATATTCAAGGTATGGCCAAATGCCTAAGTTAAAAGTGCTGAAATTCCCGGAAAAAATTATGGAATCGGAATTTCCTGGTAATATGCACATCTACACATGGTGTCCTAAATACCTGCAAAGTTGGACGAAATTCTGTGCAGTGGTTTATGAGGAGTTGCGCTGACAAACTGTTCATCTCTATATTCAAGGTATGGCCAAATGCCTAAGTTAAAAGTAAGAAATTCCCGGAAAAAATAAAGAAATCGGAATTTCCTGGTAATATGCACATCTACACATGGTGACCTAAATACCTGCAAAGTTTGACGAAATTCTGTGCAGCGGTTTATGAGGAGTTGCGCTGACAAACTGTTCATCTCTATATTCAAGGTATGGCCAAATGCCTAAGTTAAAAGTGCGGAAATTCCCGGAAAAAATAATGGAATCGGAATTTCCTGGTAATATGCACATCTACACATGGTGTCCTAAATACCTGCAAAGTTTGACGAAATTCTGTGCAGTGGTTTATGAGGAGTTGCGCTGACAAACTGTTCATCTCTATATTCAAGGTATGGCCAAATGCCTAAGTTAAAAGTGCGGAAATTCCTGGAAAAATAATGGAATCGGAATTTCCTGGTAATATGCACATCTACACATTGTGTCCTAAATACCTGCAAAGTTTGACGAAATTCTGTGCAGCGGTTTATGAGGAGTTGCGCTGACAAAAAAAAGAGGACTGACTGACTGACGGACTGACTGACTGACTGACTGACGGACCAGTCAAAAACATTATACCTCCCGCAACTAGTTGCGTGGGGTATAATTACTACAGCAGTTATTGAAAACTTATCTCCTTGCTCTTTCTGATATTTTTTGTGCTTGTTTTGCATTTTCCCCCCAATAGATTAATTAAGCTATATTCAAATATGCAGCCTGGTACCATCAGGGACCTATATACTAATAGGTCCCTGGTACTATATTGACAATTCAAAATTCTAATTACAGTATACAGTTGAACTTCGGTATCTCTAACACCGATATCTCAAATGTCATGGATTGAAAGTCCCATATATATACAACCACTTAAATATTTTACCCTGTTTGGGACACAATTATATCTCGAAGTTTTCCTCGGTCCCAGAGTTTGAGAAAACGAGATTCGACCGTAATATATATACTACTACACTGATTTTTACATATTTACAATAGTCATTCCATTTATAGCCCAGCTGTTTTAAACAGCTCTTCACAATATAATTATGCACTAGAAGTGTCAAAGATAATACCGTATAAGTAGAAATCTTAGCGAGGATTTAATTTTGGCATTAATTATTAGCGATGCTGTTGAGATCGCTAAAATTGATTATCGCTAAAAATAAATCGCTTCTTATTTGTACTAGCTTCTTTAATGAGTATTTTAAAATTGCTAAAATTACTTCATGCTAAAAAAAATACCTGGTCCAGTTTTGAGGAGAAATCGCTAAATTTGCGTCTCCCTAAAATTTCCACTCATACGGTATCTTAAACAGCTGTCGATCAGATTGAATCATATAGAATTATGAAGAATTCATGCTGTGGTAAATTATTCCCGATTCAAATTCACTTATATATATTAATTAAGTCATTATATACTGTCTTCTTGTAGGATACTTGCATCTCCGACTGAAATATGCCCGATAGATAATGACAGATTTGTCAATTATACATAGAGTATGGGCCACAGTAGTACATGTAGTCATTGGACTACAGTCCTTTGTTTATTGGTTATAAAAAAGAACAACAATTAAATTGATATAATTTATTCTGGTGTTATGCATACTGTACAATATTATACTTCTATGTATATATATATTAATATTTCCTGTAAATGTACATGTATCTTTAAACCTATTGTAACTGTAGTTGTTTCCTTATATCTTTCGTATCTTTGTTTGATCTGATCTAAATAAAGATTAACCACAAAAAAAAACCCAGAAATACATATAAATTAGAAAAGGTAGAAGTTTATAGCAATAAAATGAAAGCAGCCCCAGTTTAAACAGGGATTTGACACTATACCTTGTTTTCTCAACAAGAATTCTTCCAGGCATCAAAAAGAACAAAAGTAACAATAGATCTATCATTATACATGTATATAAATATATGAAGTTTATTCACAAAAATAGAAGTAAAAAAAAAAGTGATTATCAAAGCACTGGCCATCTGCTTAGCAAATGTCACTACAACCCAATATAAAATCCTAATGTAATTGACTTCTGTTATCTAACATTTACATAAAACTGTTTTCTCAACATCACAGAAGTATATAAAAGCATCACAAGGTCTGTTGATATGAATTTTTAAAAAATCATTAACAAAAAGGTAACTAAAACTCACAACCTTTAACTGTACTTCAATAAATAAAGGTGGCACTTTATGGTTTGGAATTATATAAAAAAGTCCCCTCTTTACAATGTGCACTTTCATGGTATCACAAATTGTACAACAAATGAAATGTACATGGCAAGAACATAAATAAAATCCTTTTAAAAAATGTCAGCAGTTTACAGAGATAGGTTTTTTGTTGTTGTTGTAAATGCGTAGTCACAAATCCGTCAGGTTTATAAAGAAAAATATAACTGACCAGCAGTTTTCTTTTATAGAGAAAAAAAGATGAACTGGGAAATGAACATACAAAGCAGATACTCCAAATATGGTTAAAATCCAAATAAACATGAATATTCATTTGATAAATTGATGAGCGATCCGGTAAATACTAGGTTTATTTTATATCGGTTTGTTGTGTTAAACATTGGAAGCCTTGGTTTTTGCTTTGGAGTACTTAGATCCCCAGTAGAATCTCTGTGTTTGCCTTGCCCCATGGGAAGGCGACCATCAAAGACAAATGGTAGGGAGGGACTACTTTTGGACCTTTTCAAGTCTGAAAGAAAAAACAAGACAATAAAACTTTTGTCTCTCTTTGTATCATTACCTCCTAAATTAATCTAACACTTACAATTAAGTATATTTCAATTAACTGGCCTTTAATTTTGGATTAGAAAACAGGGACACGTATTCTCTGTTTTGTATACAAAGGCTGCTTAGGCACCATCATTGAGTATGACCTTACTACCCATATACAAAATCTGAGAAATGTTTGAAAATAAGTGTTGTGCAAACCAAATTTTGTTACAAAAATTAACATTCTGTTTCATTTCATACCTTTAACATCAAGGTGACATCTGCGTTTGTGTGAGTCACGGCTTTGGTGCTCATCTTTCTTTGATGCATTTTGCTGAGTTGGACTTGGACTGCGGGCTCGATGATGAAAGGACGGTGCTGCAAAAATAGAAAAAAATAAATCAAAATGCAACTTTTCAACTAACCTCATAACAAGATTGGGTAATTGAAAATTCAATTAATCCGTATCAATTACATACTTGAAAACACCTTCAAGTAAAAATTATATGTAATAAAATATAATTCCAATCTCTTGAAAATTAAAACTTTACAATAAACCTCTATGGCCAACAAATTTTCACATATACTGTAGATCACTTAATTTTCTCGACACCTTTTTTTCGTGAGATAGTAATTGACTCTTTATTAGCGAGACAAAATTTTCACGAATTGTGGTCATTTCTTATTATAATCTTAAGGAATTCTTTTATACGCGAGAATGAAATTTTCGCGATCATACAGTGTTGCGTAATTACGCGAAAATAAAGTTCTCGCGAATAAAAAGTGATTTACAGTATTTCATTATAGATGTACATGAAATTACAAAAGTGATAAATTTAAAGTCCTCAAAGATGCACTATGCATACAAATTTCAAACTGACTTGCAGACTTTGTAAAAAAAAAAAATAGGAAAGAAGACTTGCATTTCACATTTTACTTGTAGTTCTGATAGTCAAGTGAAATAGTTCATAGATTTAGGGTACAAAATGTTACAAACAAAATATTCAAATATATAAAACTGCAATACATCACAGTTTAAATTAATACAGGAATATATGTAAAGATACTATTTCAGGTCTTTTCACTGATTTCCTACATTGTTTCAACAAGTTTTATTTTATGTAAAGCAACCTTACAAAGAAAACTCTAACAGATATTTACCCTTCTTTTCAGTGCATTGGGTGTGGGGAGTGGAGGGAATTTTGAATTATTTTAACCATGCATTTCTTTACAAATGTAAATTTTCTTTTCTTCTAAAATACTTGAAACCCCCCCCCCCTTAAAAATTTTTTAATTCTGAATGAAGTTTCAAAATATGACTTTACACTAAACAACTATAATCTCAGTATTACAGTATGTTATTGTTTGAACAATGCAAATTCTAAAACCAAGTTCTGAAAAATAGCTAAAAAACATAAGAACTTCAATGAGGTGAGCTAAAAAATCAAGACAGTTTTACTTGGAATTCCAAATTTGCAAGGATTTTTTTTCCTTTTAAAGATCATCTCTACAATACGAATAAAACACTATACTATGCAATGCAGATGCAAGTATTACATGCATATATTTGATACCTTTCCCATGTCTGGCTTTTAAACTTAAATTATCTGCACAGTAATTAAAAGCAACACAATTATTTCAGACACCAAACACAGACTTTGAAGAAAAAAATGTTTTCTACATTCATTTCTACACAAATTTTTTTTAAAGAACATTAATAAATGCTTACTCCTGCGGAGTTGTCTGTTCCTGTCTTTGGAGTCCTCTTTTTCTTTGGCTGAAATGTCCTGTTTGATTTTGTTTTGTAACTCTGTGTACTTCTTGTACATCTGTAGATACTGGGTCATACTCTGTCTCTGTTCCTGTATTGATAAATAAACAAGATTAGTAACATCCAATAATGTTTAACATTATTTCTTTTCCAGGGTTTTACATTTGAACAAATTAAAATTATCTGCACATTTACCACTTACATACTGTAGGTTTTTCATCCATAAGTACAGGCAGCCTATTAAATTACGTTTTGTATGAACTATTGTAAGTCAATTTTTAATAATTTACCTCTGTTGTTCTTTCCAGATTGTTTTCCAAGTTCTTCACTTGAGATCTGAGTTTCTGTAATTCGGCATCCTTCACTCGCACCATAATCTGTTGAATATAAAGATATTTTTATAACTACACTATACATATAACATAGCAGTGTACTGTAGATCACTTAATTTTCGCGACACCCTTTTTTCGCGAGATAGTCATTGACTCTTTATTAGCGAGACAAAAATTTCACGAATTGTGGTCATTGCTCTATATTATTTAAGGAATTCTATTATATGCGAGAATGAAATTTCCGCGAAAATATCATCTCGCGTAATTACGCGAAAATAAAGTTCTCACGAATAAAAACTGATTTACAGTATACAAATATCGGTCCATTTATTCAGATTTTTTGGTAACATATTTTAAAAATACCATTTCCTGACTTTATATTTTTAAGTTTCGTTACAGTTGAACTTTGTCATCTCATACAAGAATCTCTTGAGTATGGTGATATGTCAAAGTAATCTTTAAATTACTAAAGATTAAGTCCCCTTAATATATAACCCTGGATATCTCGAATCAGTCCCATTGAGATTGGCTTGACTGTACTTAAAAATATCTACAGTATGATAGATACTTTACCTGAGCATCATACAATTCCTCCTCTATGGTAGCATTGCCTGGAACACTGGCCATTGTCCTGTTCTGAATGAAGTCCTTTAGTTTGTTTATCTCTTCATTCACCAAACTATTCAGCTGCTCATTACTGGAAGAAGACAAAAACGTCTCGTATTTCAAATACATGCATTTACATTCAGAATCATTTGAATATTTGTACATGTTATCCAATCATTAATCCTATTTTGGTCCAAGGAACATTTATTTAATTGCAATGTATTTACTCTCTCATTTTTACTAATAAGAATATATCAGATTAATTTGCACAAATGCAACAACCACTGTTCTTTGAGATAACATATCACTTTGGTTCCTATTAGATTTCCCAATTTACCTCTTGATAAGTTGGTTGATGTGGCTGTCGTATTCTCGTTTGGTGGATTCCAGTTTGTCCTCCAGGAGTTTGTAGTCCTCACAGCGACTGTCGTAGTGCATCGTAACCTGAGCCAACTCCTCTCGCAGCTTGGTCGCTTCATTTCTGTTTAAACAATGTAAATTAATTATGATTCTGAACAAGGAACTATCACTATATTATAATTAGTTTAAGAATGTTACATGTATGCATGAATTAGAAAACATTTCCACTGAATGAAAAAAAAGAATTTTTTTAGATTACTGATACTTAAAGAATTATCTTCTCATAACAATGGAATATGCAAGTAGAGCTTTATTTTAAAAAGAAAATAAAACAATCTATATAATTATACAGTAAGAGGTGCATACTCATGACGACTTCTGATTTCATCCACAAAGTCATCGGTGAACATTGTCTTTAGAGCCACCCTGTACTTCTCCTTCTCCTCCTCAAGATCTTCCTCATAGGCTTTCCTCATGGCATCCAGAGCTGTAATAGGGTAATCAACAATAGAAAATCACCTTAATGAAATATAGTACATGTACTGTCAAGCAATATAAAGGGAGGTTACCTCCCTTTTTGGGAGGTGGAAGGGGTAAAAATTATGCAACTTCTTAGTTCAGTCTTACAGAAATAGGATAAAAAAAGAGTTTTCAGGGATCACATGCATTTTTATCATTTAAACCATCAATAATTGCAATCTTCAATGTTTCGTACCAGCTTTAGTGGTCTTCACTTCCTCTGCCAGAGCCTCCTCTTTCTCCTTCTTCAGCAGCTCCAGTTC